GCGTTGACGGGAAAGCCGCATGGGCTCGGGGCTCGCATCTGGGCTCTGACCCTGGCTCCGCCACGGGCTTGCGGGGTGACCTCGCGCGCCTCAGCTGCCCGTGCCTCAGTTTCCCCACCTGAGACGTAGGGGTCGTGAGCGCCGTTGGAAACGCGCATTGCGCTGTCGCGGCGAAAGGAGCCTCCCGGGAGGCGTCGTCGGGGCGCAGCTCCGTTACTCGCCTCCGTGCAGCGAGGGGCGAGAGTTTGTGTCTCTGTGGTTTTAACACTGAGGTAATGACCTCGCGCGCCTCAGCTGCCCGTGCCTCAGTTTCCCCACCTGAGACGTAGGGGTCGTGAGCGCCGTTGGAAACGCGCATTGCGCTGTCGCGGCGAAAGGAGCCTCCCGGGAGGCGTCGTCGGGGCGCAGCTCCGTTACTCGCCTCCGTGCAGCGAGGGGCGAGAGTTTGTGTCTCTGTGGTTTTAACACTGAGGTAAGGGGAGCTCTGTCTGTCCCACGACCTGTGCAGTCACCGCTTCCTCCTTTGCCTCTGCGCTGCTTTTCTTCTCCGGCTTGGGGAGCCTTGGCTTGAGCTGTGCGGAGTTAGCTCCAGTCAAAATAACCTGTTAGCATGGAGGGGCTGAATAACTCCTTAAAAACAAACACGGGGGTTATTTAAAGCTACACTGTCTGTAGCTTATTTTTAAAAATCCAATTTAAATGTGAAACTGACAACTTATGTTAAGGCCTAAGCTTGTTATAATCCATTAACATTTAAATACATAAAAAGATATTCATCAATATGTGTTTGCTGCTATACTTTAAAAAAGTCAAACTACAAAACTGCAGAAATTTGCTAAAACAAATTTTAGTCTCTTCTGCAAGGCCAGATACTCTGTAGGGAGAATATTTTCTTCATATCAGGTCATTCAACTACAGGTGAGACCTGACCTGTCCCAAATATATAACCCATTAATACAACATGATTTGTTAGATACTGATACACTCCCTCTCAAGGATGTCCTCTCTTTTGAATGTTCAAATATGGTAACCCTAAGGGAATTTGCTGGATCTGGGAGGTCTCCTGCCACCAGCCTCTCAAGTTGCAGTGTGTGGAGGTGCAGGAGTGTTATGGCAGAGATCTGGGAATGTGGGGGTGCAGAAGTCTGGAGATGTGGGTATAAGAGGGGCTCGGGCAGGGGGTTCAGGTGTAGGATCATCTCAGGGTTGGTGTGTACAGGAGTGATATGATGCTGCGGCTAGATGGGAGCGAGGCCCCAATTGGGGGCTTGTTGGCCAGGCTTCATTTTTAAATAAAGTAAAATATTATGTCTAACAGAAAAGGTTTCAACATTGTCTTGATTTATGGCAGGAGTAGGGAGCCTTTTTTGGCTCGGGGGCCACTGACCCACAGAAAAATCAGTCAGGGACCACACAAGTGAGAACCAAAAAACCCCAAACTACCACCCCTCACTGATATGACCCCCAACTGAAACACTTTTTTTCCCTTGATGCTCCTGACCAATAATGGGAGAAGGGGCAGGGAGGACTGAGGTTCAAGACTTCAGGCCAGATTTCCTCTTCTGAGGTTAGTGGATTTTGGCTACGGGGTGGAGCCAAAAATTAGGGGTTAAGTGTGTGGGACCTAGCCATCTGAGAATGGGATAGGGATGGGAGATGAGGATCTGGGTGGGAGGAGGTGGGGTGTAGGAGGGAGTGAGGCCTGGCCTGGGGGCAGGCTGCCTGGCCTGGGGGCAGTGGGGGAGATTTTGGCTAGGGGCCTGGAGGCAGGGTGTGTCTTGCCGGGGGGTGGGGGAGGTGAGTGAGGGTGTTGGTCTGGGCATGATGGGATGGGGATGCACTTGTTTTTACGCCACGTGGTAGGCATTGTGTAACACGCCTTCCTGTTGCTCCCATTCCCTGAAAGCCTCCAGAAAGGATACACAGGGGAAGCTTCCAGGGAAGTGTTTCCTGGGGCATGAAAAAGACCAATGCACATGGAGCCATTTTGGCTGCTTGTTTCCTGCATGCCAAGGGAAGGAGAAGAGTAGTGCATGGAGACTTTTTTTGCTCCGCATGTTCCCTGCATGCTTGATTAGGGCTTTTTCCCCTTTCCCACACAGGAATCCAACGCTGGCATTCTAATCATGCAGGGGGTTTTAAGGCTGCAGCTCCAATGCTGGCTCTCTGCTGTAGGAGGAGCAAGGGTGAGCTGAGTTGGAGCTCTAGAAAAGCCATGTCTGGCTCTCTAGTGAGACACAGGTTGCCAACCCCTGGTTTAAACACATGAAAAAACTTCCTTACTGTCAGGGTGGTTAAACACTGGAATAAATTGTTATTGAGGTTATAGAATCTCCATCACTGGAGATATTTTAGAGCAGGTTGGATAGACATCTATCAGGGATGGTCTAAAAGGTTCTCGGTCCTGCAGTGCAGGCAGGGGACTAGATTCAATGGCCTCTCGAGGTCTCTTCCAGTTCTAGGTTTATATGATTCTCTCTTTTTAGGCTAAGTCTACACTGTCACTTTTACTGTGCTGCAATTTTCTACTTCAAGGGGTGTGAAAAAACACATGCTCACACCCTGAACTCAGCAAGTTATAGCACTATAAAAGCCAGTGTAAATGGCATCCTAAAACTGTTAGCTACTTCCCTCTTGGAGTCCCTTTAAAAATGCAGAGTGGGAGGGGGTGGGTGGGGAGGCTTGTGCTGAGAGATAAGCGGGACCAGCTGCCACTGCTCTGTTGCTTTCAGAATGCAGAGTGGCAGCAAGAGAGCTGTCCTGGGACCTGGGGAGGAACCAGAGACTGAGTCAGCATTTTTGCATGCTGGCTCCTTTCTCTCTCCCTTTAAGAATGCAAGAGCAGTGGGGAGGGGGAGTGGTCGATAGTGCAGAGCTTATCGGGTAGTCGACCACTTGACTACTCATTCACATCCCTGTCCCAGACCCCACTCTCCCTCCTGCACCCCAATCTCTTACCCCAAACTCCATTCTGCACCCTACCTCCATCCCAGACCCCACACTTCCTCCATTAATATCATTGCCCACCTCCGAGTTAGCTAGTGCTTCAGTGCAGCACAGAGAAATTAATCAGGATTTGTGAAATGTATAAACACTTGTAGTAGTTTTTTACAGAGGGGAATAAAACAATCTGAATTTTGTGGAATAAATTTCTTCAGTTGTACATTATTCTGCTTATCCTGTACAGACTAACTCAGCTACCCCCTGAAGATTATAAACAGTGTTAGCAATTGCTGCTCATGAGCAGAAATTGCAGGATATAGATTGGGTGTGTGTCTGTCTGTCTGTCTGTCTGTCTGTCTGTCTGTCCCCCATCCATCTGTGAGTCTGTTTGTTCAAGAACTCCTTCTAAACTCTTTGGTATGCAGTTTCCTTTTATCATAACGTAAAGCAATGTAAAACCTTGGCTCATCGGTCCTCAGAAGTATTTGCTCCCAGTGAGGTGCCCGCCCACTCTGCTGTCTCTGATACAGAAGCTTCACGGGGTAGCTGAGTTAGTCGGTACAGAAAAAAAAACAACAAATGGTCTGGTAGCACTTTATAGACTAACATGTAGATGGTATCATGAGCTTTCGTGGGCACAGCTTCGGTCAGCTGAAGAAGTGGGCTGTGCCCACAAAAGCTCATGATACCCTCTATATGTTTTGCTAGTCTATGAAGTGCTGCTAGACCATTTGTTGTGTTTTTTTTCTGATACAAAGGCAGCTGTGCAGTGGGGGCAGGCAGGAGCCAGTACATGCAGAAAGCTTAAAAGCTGGCTAACTCCCAAAGCATACTGAATCCCATGGAGCCTCCTGCCCCTCCCTGCACTGCTCCCTCTTGAAATTTTCAGCGGTGTCACATTTACCTAAAGAGACACATTTTAACATCCCTATTCAAGTTATATGTATTTTTCAAATTATCTGTAGCTTCATATTTGATTTATATAAATTGGCTTTTAGATCATTCATGTAGAAGAGAATTGAAAGACTCTTAGGGTACGTCTAGACTACATGCCTCTGGCGACAGAGGCATGTAGATTAGGCTACCCGACAGAGTAAAATGAAGCGGCGATTTAAATAATCGCCGCTTCATTTAAATTTACATGGCTGCCGCGCTGAGCCGACAAACAGCTGATCAGCTGTTTGTCGGCTCAGCGCGGCAGCCATGTAAATTTAAATGAAGCGGCGATTATTTAAATCGCCGCTTCATTTTACTCTGTCGGGTAGCCTAATCTACATGCCTCTGTCGCCAGAGGCATGTAGTCTAGACGTACCCTTAATGTATAATTAGGCCTTTAAATTTAAATTAAAGATTTATTTTATTATCTGACTGGTATGTAACAGACTTGTACCCACAACCTTACTTAAGTCAAAAGTGCACTTGTAGACTTAATCCATACCCAAATACTTAAGGTAGAAATCAAAACTAGTCTGTAAATCTGTTTAGAGAAAAAGAAAAGGAGCAAACTACCAACCAGTGCTACTCTCACTGTTTTCTCTTTTAACACTTTTTTTTCCTAGGCTAAGGAAAGAATGTGACCTTTAAGAAGCAGTCATGTCAGCCCTCTGTCCACCACCTTCTCCAGCAGTTGCCAAGACGGAAATCTCATTGAATGGGGACTCACCACTACTAGCTGCTACTTTTGCCTACTGGGACAATATTCTTGGACCTAGAGTCAGACACATCTGGGCCCCTAAGACAGAACAGATGCTCCTCAGTGATGGAGAAATAACTTTTCTTGCAAATCACACATTGAATGGAGAAATACTTAGGAATGCAGAGAGTGGAGCAATAGATGTGAAGTTTTTTGTCTTGGCAGAAAAAGGAGTAATTATTGTGTCTTTAATCTTTGATGGAAACTGGAATGGGGACAGAAGTACATATGGATTGTCAATAATACTTCCACAAAGTGAACTTAGCTTCTATCTTCCTCTTCACAGAGTTTGTGTTGATAGATTAACACATATTATAAGGAAAGGAAGAATATGGATGCATAAGGTAGGTTTGTTCTTCATTGCAATCAGATATTAAAAGCCTGATAAGACCTTTAATCCAGTGGTTCCCAACCTTGTTTATACCAAGGACTGGCAAACCTGTTCACAAACTTTTGGCAGACTGGTAACAGTTTATTTGCATATTCACTGTGCAAATAATGAATATTCAGCTATGCAAATAAACTGTCACCAGTCTACCAAAAGTTTGTGAATGGGTTTGCTGTTCCATGGTATACAAAGCCCCAGACCTACATCCCCCCAGCCGTTCCCAACCTTGTTTATACCAAGGACTGGCAAACCTGTTCACAAACTTTTGGCAGACTGGTAACAGTTTATTTGCATATTCACTGTGCAAATAATGAATATTCAGCTATGCAAATAAACTGTCACCAGTCTACCAAAAGTTTGTGAATGGGTTTGCTGTTCCATGGTATACAAAGCCCCAGACCTACATCCCCCCAGCCTTCCACTACTCCCACCCAGCGCCAGCCACTGAACCCAGAGTCCCCTGCATCCAGGACCCCCCCCCTCCCCCCCTGCCAACCCATCTCCCCCAG